ACAACAACACCAACAACAACACCAACAACAACAACAACACCAACAACAACAACAGCAACTACAACAACAACAATAAAACAAACCAAAAACGATAACAACAACAAACAGCAACAACGACAACAACGACGACAACCACAACGACAACAACAACAACATCAACACCAACAACAACAAAAACAACAACAAAAACAGGTGCGAGCCCCGGAAGGAGCAGCGTGTAATTGAAGCAATAGAATGGTTACCGGAGGGGGAGATAAACTGTGATTGTTCTGTAGACACGAGAATTCAACGACCAAGCTGAGACTGATAGCTCTCATCTGCTCGTACGTCACCCAACATGTATTTACAAAGCACTCGATGCTTGCCGTCTCCGTGTTCGATCGTCTTCCCTTTGGGGTGAATCTTCCTTGCCTGTCAAGTGCACTTGGCACAAGCTGTAGAATACAAATAGAAGGGACGAAAGAAAAAGGGACACGAGAAAGCGAGCAGGACACGAGAAGGGGGGGGGAAAGAGAGATGGACGAGGACTGAGGTGGAAAACGATGTTGCAGAAAGGAGGAGACATGAGCAAACAAATTGGCAGAGGGACCCTATCGAGCAGGTCAGGTCGGCGGTAGACAAACCTCCCTTTAGTAAACCTCCCTCGAATGAGAACGGCCCAAGACCGAAACCGACGGATTTGGACCCGAAAAAGTTACGGCCGTGACGCCCTCTCGCGAACCGAAAACGGCCAATTCGCCAATCAACGTGTCAGGGTAGGAGGTCTATCAACCTCCGATCTGGCGTGGGGACCCTAACGAGCGGGTCGGGCGAGCGGACCCTAACGGGCTGGTCGACTGGGATCTCGATGAAGGCGGGCGGGCTTCCAAGCAGGCGAACGCGCGGACCGTAACGGGCGGGTCGGGCGGACGGACCCCAACGGGCGGGTCAGGCGGGTGGGCCCCGACGGACGGGCTGGGCGGGCCGAGCGTTGCAGCGAACGTCACGGATTGCGAAGAAGTCTCCGGCGAGAGCACGGTTGCTGCGCAACTTGCGAGGAGGTGTCGTGCGAGAGCGTGGTCCCTGGGCTTTGAGAGCGTAGCGCCTAAGCAACTTGCGAGAAGTCCCAGGCGAGACCAGGTGCAGAATGTGAGGCTCAACGCTTTTCCGTACAAAAAACAAATGCGAACCCACGAGGGGAGACATTTCCATGGAAGCAAATCCGGCGTGTGAGGGGGATCAACATACTTATTCTGCAGAAAGGAAAGCCAGCAACAACAACATCGCCATCGCCATCACCATCAGCAACCTCATCAGCAGCAGCAGCATCATCTGCAGCACCAACATCATCATCACCCTTTATCATCCGCATCATCACCATCATCATCACCATCATCATCACCATCATAACAACCACCATCATATTCGTCGGCCGATTCATTGGTATCCTCTCTAATCACTCTCGCCCTCCTGCACGCACGCAACCCCTCTCGCTCTCCCTCTTCGTACCCCATCACTCCTCATCCTTATATTTCCTCCTCCCTCATACCTGCTATTCCTTCCCATCCTTCCGCCCTACATACTCCCTTCCTCTGTATGTATCCCTCCCTCCTCAACATCTGTCGTCCCCTTTTTCCTCACCCTTCCGCCTCCTCCTGCTCCCCCTCCTTCTCCTCCTCCTCCTCCTACTCCTCCTCCTCCTTCTCCTCCTGCCCCGGAGGGGCACCCCCATAAGCAGGGTGTCGGGTCAAAGCGCCCCCTGATGCAGGCGGAGAGCATCGGGCCTTCGAAATCCAAACCCCCGTGCCGCGGGGACGGCCCCCAAAGCGGGGTCTCCTTCCCCAAGAGGACCGCCAGGTTCCACAGCTCCGTTGGGGCGGCGCGGGGTTCCCCCCCCCCCGCGTTCGCCGCCTCGGCGCAGGTCGGGCGGCCCTTCCCCCCTGTTGTCCGTCCTCGTCCGTCGTTTTCTCATTTTCTTTTCGTTCTCGTCGTCGTGTCGCGTTGTGTTTCGGTCCCTGGGTCCAACAACATTCTCCTGGATCCCTTGGGCGGCGGGGGGCCGTTGTTTGGGCCGTTTCTGTACAAGGGTGGTACGGTTGGTCCCTTGTGCAGTGCGCGGCGGGGATCTCTCGCTGCCCTTTGGGCTCGGTTTTTCACGGCTCGACCGCTTCGCCCGTGGGCCGTGTGCGCGGGGCCCCGTGGGAGGCCCTGGGCGCCCAATGGGGCGCCCAGCGCCTCCACGTTGGGCGAGGGCTGTAGCGCCGCGGTGAACAAAAAAACCTCCTCCTCCTCCTCCTCCTCCTCCTCCTGCTCATCATCATCATCATCCTCCCCCTCCTCGTCCTACTACTACTACTACTACTACTACTACTACCACCACCACCACCACCACCACCACTACTACTACTACTACTACTACTACTACTACTACTACTACTACTACTACTACTACTACTACTACTACTACTACTACTACTACTACTACTACTACTACTACTACTACTACTACTACTACTACTACTACTACTACTACTACTACTACTACTACTACTACTACTACTACTACTACTACTACTACTACTACTACTACTACTACTACCTACTACTACTACTACTACTACTACTACTACTACTACTACTACTACTACTACTACTACTACTACTACTACTACTACTACTACTACTACTACTACTACTACTACTACTACTACTACTACTACTACTACTACTACTGCGACGACGACGACGACTCCTACTACGACGACAACGACGACGACGACGACGACTACTACTACTACGAGTGCTACTACTACTAACACTACTACTACTACTACTACTACTACTACTACTACTACTACTACTACTACTACTACTACTACTACTACTACTACTCCCTCTCGTTCTCCGTCTCCTCCTCCTCCTCCTCATCCTCCTCCTCCTCCTCCTCCTCCCCCTCCTCCTCCTTCTCCTCCTCCTCCTCGTCCTCCTCCTCCATCTCCTCGTCCTTTTCTGGGGTGTGAGGAGAAAGAGTTGGGAGAAAAGGAATGAGAAAGGAGGGGGAGTGGACAAGGGAGGGAGAGAGGACGGAAAGGAGGAGAATGGACTGAGGAAAGCAGGAGTTCCTGAGTTCCTCCCGTCCTTATCCTCCTTGAGATGTTTCCTCCCTTTTTCCCTCACTCCTCCTGCGCCTCCTCCTTTATCCTCCTCCTCCTCAGCCAGCGTCCCGGTCAGGTTCAGGGCGACCATGAGGTTGCAGAGCGCCCCGAACCAGTCGCTTTCCACAAAGCTCAGGCACTGCCAGGGCAAGAACGTGGGAGACGGACGAGGGGTGGAGGAGGAAAAGAAAGGAGGATATGGGGGGAGCATGAAGAGACGGGAAGGGAAAGGGGAGGGACAAGGAGAAAGACATAGGGAAACAGCACAAGATCATCCAGATACGCCACATCCCTCTCGCTCGTCCCATACATCTTCATCCACCTCCTCCTCGCCATAGTCATCTTCATAGAGTGAACCACCACCCTGATCATCATCATCACCATCCGCAGCACCATCAACAGATGTACCCGCATCAGCATCAGCATACGCAGCATCGTCATCATCAGCATCATCATAATATTCATCAGCATCATCATCATCATCATCATGATCATCATCATCATCATCATCATCATCATCATCATCATCATCATCATCATCATCATCCTCATAATAATCATCATCATCATCGTCATCATCATCATCATCATCATCATCATCATCATCATCATCATCACCTGTATCGTCATCATCATCATCGTCGTAATCATCATAATCATCACCACCACCATTATCGTCATCATCATGATCGGCACCATCACCATCATCACCGTGATAGCCTCCCCATCACAAGCATGATCATCAGCATCATCATCATGACCATCGCCATCACTAGCATGATCCTCTTCTTATCATACTCCTCCTCCTCCCTCACCCCCTCCCCCTCCGCACCCGTCTACTCGTTCTTCTCTTCCTGATAAGAGGGAGAGGGAGGAGGAGGAGGAGGAGGAGGAGGAGGAGGAGGAGGAGGAGGAGGAGGAGGAGGAGGAGGAGGGAGGAGGCGGCACAAATGCCAGCTGGTCGGGTGGGCGACCCCACTCTGCACGGGGAGCAGGGGGCGCTCAAAACTTCACCACCGTGTTGGGAAAGTTCCCCAACGAGGCGACAGCACAAGAGTCCCGCAGGCCCGTCCACGAGATCGACAGTAGAGCGACATACAATATCTCTGCGGGAACTTCCTACACCTCCACATCAATCGTGGAAGAAGAGCCGAACATCCCAACACACGACGACAATTGCTACTGAATGCCCAATCGAAAAACTGGAATGCGCCACCCTGACGTGGAAAGGGGGAGGCTCACCCAGCAAAGGGCTCTCTGGCACCCCTGAGAAGACTGCGAACTCGAGGAACCAGATGCAACAAATCCTGGGGGGTCACCCGTCCAAGGCTCCCTGACACCCTGAGCAGAAACTTTCTCGAGAGCACCAGTGCAAATACAAGAACCAGACCGTTGACGGACCAAGACTCCGCCAAGCTGACTAGCATCAGCGTCGAGTGGAAGCAACTCTCGGAATACCGCCCATACATTGACGGATCGACACCAGCGGCCAGAAACACCTTCAGGCCGAGATCGAAGGCGATGAAGACGCACGTCGCCTGCCATTCAGCAAGGCGACCAATGCCGAGAAAACATCAGCCCTATGTGGCCACCAGCGCGGCGAGGCGAAGGGTGACGTCCAGCACCCCCGCCTTCCCCCGCACGGTCTCCACCAGCTTAGATCCAATCGCCCACACCAAACGAGCGAGAACCTATGCTGGACACATGGTCATCGCTGCGTCTGGGCGCCTTCGCGAATAACCACATCACCACCAACACCACGTTTATGATGGCGTGGGGCATCAGCATTTCGTGCGTGAGCCCTTGCGATAGACACCAACGAAACTCGACCAGCCCTCCGCTGCGGAGACACTCTTCAAGAAATTGCATCCCCGAAAAAATCAATCGCACATTCGAAAATCCGCTCAGCCGTCAGGACGCTGGTGGGCCTGAATTAAGCCAGCTGCCCTTGATAGGTCAAATATATCATGCCGACCGCGCACCCCATGGCCAGACGGCCGCCCCACTCCGCTAGGAAGATAACCTTCAGCCGAAACAGGTGGGCCGCCTGCGCTAAGGCAACGGGTTCCAACACGCCGTTGTCCCTGCTGAACACATTGGTTCCAGAGGGCCGCCCAGCTGGGCACGCGCTACTATGCTTCGACTGCATGTCAACCTGTGCAACTCCGCGTCAGCTGGATAGTTGCTTGATTGGGGCTGGTAGCCAGAAACCGTACCAACCACCGCCAGAACTGAGGGTGTGTTTCCTGACTTCAAAGAGTCGGAGGGCCAGCAAATGCCCATCGTCGCCGCCATCGGGAATTGTGCCATGACGGCTTCGTACGCACACGCGCCGAAATACGTGCGACGGTCGTGCGGGCCAAGAACAAATCTAGCGCATCGCCCGGTCAAGAGGCCAAGTGGCCGAGATAATCGCGCGAAGTCACAGGATGGCACAAGCAAGATTACACCGCCAGTGCTGGTTCCGTAACCAGATCAGGATGCCCGAACAGGCGGAACATGCCGAGCGCCCTGCTGTGTCCCCCGCGCGGCAGAAGAGCTGGCCCTTCATGCCTCTGCAGGATGCCCGCCCCGAGGTCCAAGACCGCCCAGCTGGTCAGGGAGAACCCCAATTGCCCCCCATCCTTGAGAACAGGGGGCACATTGGCTCTTCTCCGTTGTCCTTGGGGGGGCAGCGCCAGCACCGCCTTCCGCCGCCATGCAACCGAGCGCTTCCAAGAGGCGCCCCCAGGAGGAGGAAGTGGAGGAGGACGAGGGAGCGGGAGGGGGAGAGGGTACGGGCAAGGGGACGGTAACGGGCAGAGGGTGGAGAATAAGGAGAAAGGCAAAGGGAAGAGGGAACGGAGGGATTGGGGGAGGCGGCTGACTTTCTTGACCGCTCGCCTTGACCCCTCCAGATCCTCTCAAAGTCTCTCATATTCACGTTAATAGACATTATCATCTGCAACATCAGCATCATCAGCATGATCAACATCCTCAGCATCACCATCAACATCATCATCATCATCATCATCATCAGCAGCAGCAGCAGCAGCAGCAGCAGCAGCAGTATCATCATCAACATCATCAGCAGCATCATCAGCAAGAGTATCAGCATCATCAGCATCATCATCGCCAACACTATCGTCATCGTCGTCGTCATCGTCATCCGTACCATCCTCATCAGCAGCATCATCATCATCAGCAGCAACAACACCATCGTAGTCAGCATCGTGGTCGTCATCATGATCATAATAATAATCGTCCGTATCAGCATCATCACCACCACCACCACCATCATCATCATCAGCAGCATCAACATCATCATCAACAGCAGCCTCCTCGTCATCATCAGCATCGTCCTCATCATCATCATCATCATCATCATCATCATCATCATCATCATCATGGTCACCATCGTGGTCGTCATCATGATCATCATAATCAGCATCACTATTGGAATCATCATCACCATCATCACCTCCACCAGAGTCATCACACTCATTATCGTCATCAACACCGTCATCATCATCAGCAGCATAATCAGGCTTATCAGCACTATCAGGACCACCATCACCATCATCATCATCATCATCAGCATCATCGTCATCATCATCCGCATCATCATCATCATCCTCATCATCATCATCGTCATCATCATAGTGGGCATCATCATCACAATCGTCAGTCACCGTCAGCGTCGTCATCGCTATCATCATCATGGTCATCATCATCGTCGTAATCGTATATGTCGACATCAATAACAGCATCAGCATCAGGATCATCATCATCATCAGCATCATCGTAATGAACATCATCGACATCGTAATCGTCAATACCACCGTTGTCGACAATCATCCTCATTACAACCACCAGCAGCGTCGCTGACATAATCATAATCAATATCGCAGTCGACTTTATCGGAATCGTAATCGGCATCATCGTCGCCGCCATCATCTTCACAACCAGAATCAACAGCAGCATTGTTGCCGTCGTCAGTATCATCGCTGTAATCGACATGGTCATCGCCGTCAACGTCATCAGCATCATCTTCAACACCGTCATCAGCATTATCAGATTCGTCGTCGTCATGATCCTCATCGTCATCGACATCGTCATCACCCCCATGGACATGCATGTCCACCAACATCGCCATCATCAAGATCGATGTCGACGTCGTCATCATCATCACCACCGTTAGTGGTATCGTCAGCATCGGCATCATCACCATCACCATCATCGAAGTCATCGTGGCGGTCATCGTCATCAGAATCTTCCGCATCATCACCGGCGTCGTCATCATTATCACTAACACCACCACCACAACCAACATGATCGTCATCATCATCAGCAACAGCATCAACCTCATCAGCATCACCAGAATCGTCATCATCGTTGCGGTCGCCATCGCCTTCGTACTCGTTGTCGTCGTCATCAACATCAGGTCATCATGATCGTCGTCTTCGTATTCATCAGCATCATCATCATCATCATCAGCATCATGATCATCAGCATCATCATCATCATCATCATCATCATCATCATCATCAACACGATCGTCGTCGTCGAATTCATCGGCATCATCATCGTCCTTGTCATCACCCTCAACTTTATCGTCATCATCATCATCTGCACCACGACAACCCGCATCAACGCCAGCATCGTTGTCCGAGTCGTCATCCTCATCATTGTCAGCGTCACCATCGCCATTACCAACTGAACCATCATCACCATCATCACCATCATCACCATCATCGTCGCCGTCATCCTCCTCGTCATCAGCAGCAGTATCCGCATCATGATCCGCATCATCATCAGCAGCAGCATCATCATCAGCATCAGCATCATCATCACTACTATCATCATCAGCAGCATCAGCATCGTCATGAACATCATCAGCAGCATCATGATCATCATCATCACATCATCATCAGCAGCAGCATCATCATCGACGTCATCATCATCACCGTCATCGTCGTCGGTGGAGCTGGAACTTGAAACCCCAGATGTTGCAGGCCATTCGCAAAGAGGGCCAGGGGACGATCCACAGTGGAGTGGCGCCCGCAGGATGGCTGGAGGAAGAACTGAGCACCTGGATCGACGCGCTCTCGCGCTGAATGCGGATTCCCCGAGTCGGCCTGTGCGTCTCGTGCACGCTGGCTCGCCTCCGTTGGAGGCTCCAGCTGTCCCGAGAGCGCTTGCCGTGCCAGCTGCCGCCGTTGCCTCGTCTGGTGAGCACTCGCCTGCTGCCGCAGCCGACACGCCCCGCGAGCGAGCTCTGGCTGAAATACGACGCCGGTGACGAAAAGGCCCACCTTTTTCGGCATCGGATGACTGTAAATTTCCTTCGGTAAAACCGATGGTAGCCCGAGCAGGTCAGGCCAGAAGGAAATTCGAAGGAGCATTTTAAGGTTAAAAGCGCATAGTCGAGACGTGATTGTGTGACCACCATTCACGCCTGTGCGTGGCGCTTCGCCTGCTTGCAGCACCGCTGTGCACGCCGAGTCTTCTGGCGAGCTATAGGCCCCACGCGTAGCGACAGGTTCATCTCAGCACGAGGAAGACGGCTTTTACAGCTAGCCTGGTAACTTTCTGTCCAATCCCAATACCAGCGCCAGACTTAAAGCCTCAACGTCGTTGAATCAGAATCCCCTATCACACCCAACAGGAGCACCAGCACCACTGGCGTCGTCGCCATCCTCGATGGCAGAGGCCAAGACACGCATCGCATACAGACATCAAGAACACGTAACGATCCAGGTGAATGACCCAACCATATGTGGGCGCGAGTGCCGCAAGGCAGATGGGACGAAGGAGGGGCAGGTCCCTATGGGGCCACGGCAGGTGTGGAGGGTGTGCCGACATGGGTGCAGGGCCGCCATGCTAACCCCGCCGCTGGGGCCTTTGGTGGAGCCTCCCCGAACGCGGCCACGAAACGTGCGAGAGGTGTGCCGAAATGTGTGCGGGGCCGCCATGCGGACCCTGCCGCTGGGGACTTCTGTGGAGCCGCCTTCTGGGGCCACGAAACGTGTGAGTGGCGTGCCGAGATGGGCACGGGGTCGCCATGCGGACCATGCCGCTGGGGCCTTCGGTGGAGCTTCCTGTGGGCCCACCAAACGTGTGAGGGGGGTGCCGAAGCGGGCGCGGGGCCGCCAAGCGGAACCTGCCGCTGGGACCTTCGGTGAACCCCCTTATGAGGCTACGAAACGTGTGAGGGGAGTGCAAAATTGGGCGCGGGGCTGCCCTGCGCGGGGCTGCAATGCAGACCCTGCCGCTGGAGCCTTCGATGGAGCTCCTTTTGGGGGCCACGAAACGTGCGACGGGTGTACCGACATGGTTGTGCGGAGGACAGAGGGAAGAGGAGGGGGAGGGGGGAAGGGAGGACGCGGTGCTCTGTCGCTTCAAAACGAGGGCCCAACACCACAGGACGGCTGGGGGGAAAGAGGGCTTCAGTAACACACATGAGTAAAAATGCATACATGACAGACGTGGAAGCACACACGCACACACGTGACTTGAAAGCAGGAAGAACGCGCGCACACACACACACACACACACACACACACACACACACACACACAACAGCAACAACAGCATGCACAATGTATGCGGCCTCGATCAACAGCGCACATAGAAGGAAATATGAAATTTACCATAGCATTCATACTGTGTATATGTACTCCGCACGCTTCAGAATGCTACGCAAACCACATATTAAACACGGTCTCATACATGAGGGTTGCAGGTCACGCGCAGCGTGTATGTATGTATGATGTGTGTGTATGCGTGTGTGTATGTATGTATGTATGTATGTATGTACGTACGTACGTACGTACGTACGTATGGTTGTATGTATGTATGTATGTATGTATGTATGTATGTATGTATGTATGTATGTGTATGTATGTATGTATGTATGTATGTATGTATGTATGTATGTATGTACGTATGTATGTATGTATGTATGTATGTGTGTGTATGTATGTATGTATGTATGTATGTATGTATGTATGTATGTATGCATGTATGTATGTATGTATGTGCGTATGTATGTACGCACGTATGAGTATGTAGGTATGTATGTATGTATGTATGGATGGATGCATGCATGCATGCATGCATGCATGTATGTGTGTATGTATGTATGTATATATATGTGTGTGAGAGTACGTATGCAAATATGAATACATATGAATGTATGAGTGTATGTATGTTTGTGTGGATGCATGTATGTGTGCATGTGTGTATGTATGTATGTATGCAAGCATGTGCATGTATGTATGTATGTATGAATGTATGCATGTGTGTATGTATGTACGTGTGAATGTGTATGTATTCACGCATTACACGTATATTTTTTGCATCATACAGAGAAACATGCATACACACATACATACACACACGTATACAAACTTTGGGCGATCGCGGCCTCGCGCGCAGCAACGAGCCGGAGCAGGTCGAGCAGAGGGCGTAGAGCTGACGCGCGCGACCGGGCCCTCGGGCGCGGGGCCATGCTGGATCGACCGCACGTGTCCACCCAGGCAGGGCGGGGAGAGGGAAAATCGAGGCAGCGTCCGCGGACGGAGGCGGCGGCGCCCGGCACCACGACGCCACGAGCCCGAGCCAGCCTCGGGCTCGTGGCGTCGCTCGTCGGAGACGTGGGCGAGAGCCGCCCACGTTGGAGGGGCCGGCGGAGGCCGCGGAGGAGCCACGGCGGAGCCCAGAGTCATGTCGGGCGCGTCCCCCTACAGGGGGACTTTCGACGAAAAACAAAAACATAAAATACCCAAAAAAGGTAAAAGATACAAAACAAACAGGAAAAACATATATATATATATATATATATATACACACACATATTCCCCTGACTATTCTTGGACTATGTTTGGTGTATGTTTTATGTTTCGTCGAAAATCCCCCTGTAGGGGGGACAGGCCCGACTTAAGCCCAGAGGTGGGAGGGCGGGGTGGGGGAGCTGCAGCAGCGCAGAGCTGCAGGGAGGAGGGGCGCGTGGCCGCTCCTGGCTGGCGCTCGGGGCGAAGCGGGGGAACTCGGCCGCGAGGGATCCCCAGAGGGGCCCCGCTTCTGCGAGCTGGCCTCCCCGGCAGAGCCAAGCGATCCCGGAGGATGGATCCAGGCGGGGACCCCCCACCAGGAAAGGACTGAGCTGGTCGCCCGTCGTGCAGAGGGCAGTGTCCGTGGGCACATACGTATACACACGTGCATAGATCTGCAGAGAAAGAGAAAGAGAGAGAGAGAGAGAGATTCTACTCATAACTTGAAAACTCGCCCGCACGCGCACGCATGCCGCACGACCCACCCCCCAAACTGGAATCGAGTCGAATGCAAGGGTACGGGGGTGGCGTCCTGACCCAAAACGGCGACGCACGGAGTGCTCGACACATGCTCCCTCTGCATCCTCGCTCTCCCCCCGCCGCCCGATCTGCATGGGCATGCAGCTTAGGCTTGCACAGAACGGTGTTACTGAGTATCGTTTAACCGATCCCTATCCCCAGCGGCGTGGCCTGGGCCCCACTGGCCGATTTACCCCCCTAGATGGGGATATGGGTCGCTCCCTTCGGGTTTCGAGGGGCACATCCCCAGCTGGGGTGGTAAGTTGGTGGGGGTCTCGAAGGGGATGGGGATCGTTGAAACGATACTGAGTTACTGAGCCTTCCTACAAACACACACACACACCTCCTCCTCCTGTTCCTCCTCCTCATCCCCCTCCTCCTCCTCCTCCTCCTCCTCCTCCTCCTCCTCCTCCTCCTCCTCCTCCTCCCCCTCCTCCTCCTCCTCCTCCTCCTCCAGCAGCCCTCCACATCACTGGCTGGTCCTCCAGGGGGGGCCAGAGGTACGGAGGGGCCTGCGGGCCCGGCGGCTGCGGGGTCTCCAGCCTCTTGATGCGCTCCAGCTCGGCGGCCAGCTCGGCCATCGCGTCCTGACCGGGGCGGCCTCTGCGGACCCCCATCAGAAGGCCGCACGGTAGGGATGCAAGGGCCTTGGAAGCCCACTGCGAAGCTTTTCGAGCGGGGCGAGGCCAACGAAAGCAGCCAAGGGTGGACCGACGAGGCAAGGATGCAAGGCCACCCTCACTCTGCGGGTTGAGCGCACGATGTTCTACCACAGAACCCCTGCTTTCCATCGATATCATCGGCCGTACTCCATGCTCTGGCGGTCTTTGGCAATCTTCGGCCATCTCTGGTGGTCTCTGGCGGTCTTCCGCGCGAAAGCTGGACGGATGCGTTCCACAAGAGGCCCATGAGCGTGCCAAGCAAGACTGGAATGGCTCCGTGCTCGAGCTGGTCTTGCGGCTGCGCTCGCGCCTGCCAGAATGACAAGACACGGCATCAGCATTAGCTTTCGGCAGTCCGCGCGGATTTCTTGAGTCGGCGCTGACCCCCTCCTGGCGCGCGAAGCGGTCAGCGAGCAAGAGGGGAGTCCAGCGGCGACCCAAGAAGCTCGCGCGGACCCCCCGAAGGTGACATTCATGCAAATTGCCTGAAGAAGTGGGTAAAAACATGAGGTAGGAAGGCGTTGAGAGTATTTTCGGGTTCCGCCCGCCCCCTAAAAAGGAGGGAAGAGGGGAAAGCCACCCGACTCCTGTCACAGGAAGGCGCATAAAGCATGCTGGCATCTGGGGAGAGCATGCTACGCATGGAATGAATTGCATGGAACAAACTGCACTGGATCCGTGAGTGGATCAATCAAAATTAATGATGCGATGATTCCCCTTTCGATTTCGAGCTGGCTATGATGCCCGCTCGTGCCCACCGACCGATGGGCACCTCTGCCTCTCCTCCTCCTCCTCCTCCTCCTCCTCCTCCTCCTCCTCCTCCTCCTCCTCCTCCTTCTCCTCCTCCTCCTCCTCCATCACCACCTCTCCCCCCTTTCTCGCCGTTATCCTCCCCCTGACAGGGTCGTCACCCACCTTATGTTCCTAAGCCTCCTCGTAATCGCTCTCCCCCCTCTTTCCACCACCAAGCCTGCTTCATACCTATATATATATATATATATATATACCTATACGACCACCCTTCGGGTGATAAGGAGGTTCGGGGGGGGGGGGAGGAACCAACGTCTCACTCGATCGGTCTCACTATCGATCTCACTATCGATCTCAGTATCGGTCTCGCTCGATCGATCTCCCTCGATCGATCTCACAATCGATTTCACTCGATCTATCTCACAATTGATCTGACTATCGAGCTCGCAATCGATCTCACAATCGATATCACAATCGATATCACATTCGGTCTCACTATCGATCTCACTATCGATATCACAACCACTATCACAATCAACGTCATCATCATCATCATCAACAGCAACATCAACATCAACATTATCATCATCATCACCAACATCATCATAATCGGGACACCGTCCTCATCATCAACACCAACATCATCATCATCACGGTCATCAACATCATCGGGACACCACCATCATCATCATCATCATCATCATCATCATCATCATCACCATCATCACAATCATCAATAATCAACATCATCATCATCATCATCATCATCATCATCATCATCAGCAGCATCGGGACAACGTCATCGACATCATCATCATCATCAGCAGCAGCAGCATCATCATCGGGACACCATCATGATCACCATCGTTATCATCATCATCATCATCATCATCATCATCATCATCATCATCATCATCATCATCATCATCATCATCATCATCATCGGGACACCATCATCATCATCTCATCCTCATCATCGACATCATCATCATCAGCATCATCAACATCATCATCAGCATCATCATCATCGTCATCATCGGGGCACCATCATCATCATTACCAACATCAGCATCAACATCATCATCATCACATCGGGACGCCATCATCATCAACATCATCATCATCACCATCATAATAATCATCATCATCGGGACGCCATAATCATCATCAACCTCATCATCATCAACATCATCATCATCGGGACACAATCATAATCAGCATCATCAACATCAACATCATCATACTCATCATCATCGGGACACCATCATCGTCATCATCATGATCATCAACATAATCATCATGATCATCATCATCCTCATCATCGGGACACCATCAGCATCATCATCATCATCATCATCAGCATCGTCATCATCATCATCATCATCATCATCATCATCATCGACATCATCATCATCATCATCATCATCATCATCATCATCATCATCATCATCATCATCATCATCATCATCATCATCATCATGATCGTCCTCATCATCATCAGCATCACCATCATCATCATCATCATCGTCATCATCATCATCATCAGCAGCAGCATCATCATCAGCAGCATCATCATCATCATCATCATCATCATCATCATCATCATCATCATCATCATCATCATCATCATCATCATCATCATCATCATCATCATCATCATCATCATCATCATCATCATCATCATCATCATCATCATCATCGCGGGACACCGCGGGACACCGGCGGGACACCGCGGGGCACCGCGGGACACCGCGGGACACCGCGGGACACCGGCGGGACACCGCGGGCCACCGGCCGCCCGGAAGGGAGTCATTTGGTCCGGCCGCGCCTCAGCCACACGGGACACCAGCGGGACACCGGCGGGACACCGCGGGCCACCGGCCGCCCGGAAGGGAGACATTTGGTCCGGCCGCGCCTCAGCCACAGGAGACTTTCTCTCGCCCGCCCACGCAGCTTCGCCTCGCCCGCACGCACGGCACGCACGAACACGAAACCGAAATCGATTTCCCGGTAGGGGGGCTCTCCGTTCCACTTCGATCTCACCCCCTCACCTCCGATATATATATATATATATATATATATATATTATATATATATATATATAAAATATACATGCATACAACATACATACATACATACATACATACATACATACATACATACATACATACATACATACATACATACATACATACATACATACATACATATACATATATATATATATATATACTAGAACCATCGCGCGCGCTTCGCGCGCGCTCAAGTTCTAGCCCAGGCCGGGGGAGCGCTGGAAGATCTTGGACAGCGCTATCTAGCACAGGCGCGTGACATAGTCGTGCCTCCTGGGGGCCTCTTGGGGACCTCTTGGGTCTTCGTGGGGGCATCTGAAGGACTTCTGGGGGGTTCTCCGTGCTTCCTCAATTTGCTGTTGGAGGCATCTCGTGGGTGCTTCTTGGGGGGCGTCTTGGGGCTTCTTGGGGTCCCTTCTTGGGAGCATCGTCGGGGTTCTCCGGGCAGTCGGAAGGTGATGTTCTGCAATCTGAAGCCGTCATTGGCCGTCTTGGCTGCGTGGAGGCCCGACTTGAGGGCGCCTGGGGCCACGCTGAAGCAATCCGGAAGCCTCCCGGGGGCCTCCTGCAGACAGTTTTAATGCATCGAGGGCGCTGCTGGGCAATCTTGGAGCCTCTTGTACGTCTCCTTGGGGCCTCTTGGAAGGCTTATTCCTCGTCGGACCACTTGGGGACTCTTGGGGCCTTCTCTGGGCTTTTAGGGCGGAAGACTCTGCTGTTGGGTTCGCGTTCACATTCTTGGGCCTCTCTTGGGACCGTTTTGGAGCCCTCTCGGGCCGTCTTGGGCGCCTCAGGCACTGTATTGGGGCCTCGTGGGCCGTCTTGGGGCCCTCTTGGAAGCCTCTTCGGCTATCGTGGAACGGTCTTGGGGCCTCTTGGGCCGTCTTGGAGCGTCGGGATGTCAAAAGGCTGAAACGCTAAAGTGCACCAAAAACCAAAAGGAAAATCCGTGATCTTGGCTTCTTGGGGCCCTTTTGGGAGTGCGGGCCACCCGGAGGACATCTTGGGCGTGTTAGAACGTTAACTCCGCGATAGTAGGCCTCCTGGGGGCCTCTCTCATAGTATGCCTCCGGGAGGCCTCTCGCGGCCCTTTTCATCTGTGTTGAAGCTGTCTTGAGCGGTCCGGAAGCGTCCATGGCGCCCCGACACCCCCATTGCGCGTCGGGCCCCCCCCGCCTCGGTGCGAGATCGAACACTGGAAGGTGAGGCGGCAACGTGCTCCGGCAGCGCGTTTCCGGAGCATGTTCGGGGGACCTGGGTAGGCAGTTGTGAAGCCTCTCGGAGGCCGTTTTGGAGACTCTGGTGGGCCGCCCAGGGCACTCTTGGAAGCCTCTTCGGCTATCTTGGAGCTGTCTTGGAGGCCTCTTCCTCCTCCTCGTCCCCCTCCTCCTCCTCCCACTCCAGCTCTCTCTCCTCCTGATCTTCCTCCTCCTCCTGCAGCGTGTTCTGGAAGGCTCCCGCCGGAACATGCTCTGCACAAGTGCTGTCACTGCTCCCGCCACCGTGCCCTGGGTGGTGGGTCAATGGCCTCATGGGTGGTGGTTTGGATCTCGTGGTTGGCCTGTCGGGGACGTCGTGAAGGCAGTTTCACAACTTCCTGGCAGCCGTTTTGGGACAGTTGTGGGACCTCCTCGGAGCTGTTTTGTGGCCTCTGTAGGCCTCGTGTGGGCCTCCTGGGTGCCTCTTGGGGGCCTCCTGGGGCCTCTAGGGGCACTCTTCAAGCGGGAGGGTCGAATTTGGGAGTCGTGGTCCCCCTCTTGGGCGCATCTTGGGGCCGTCTTGGGGCTCTGTTGGCCTGTCTGGGCGACTCTGGGGCCGTCTTGGGGCCCTCTTGGGCCGTCTTGGGGCGCTCTTGGGGGCCTATTGAGCCGCCTTGGAACGTCGGACAGCCGAAAAGGCTGGAAGGCCAAAATCGTGCGAAAACCTTAGTAAAATGACGATTTCGGCCTCTTGAAGCGCTCTGGAGAGGCGTCTTGAAGCGTCGTGGAGGCCTCGTGTGGGCCTCCTGGGTGCCTCTTGGGGGCCTCCTGGGGCCTCTAGGGGCGCTCTTCAAGCAGGAGGGTCGAATTTGGGAGTCGTGGTCCCCCTCTTGGGCGC